TCGTGCTTCTGTTTCTGACCGCCTTGCCCGAGAGCACAGAAGGGAATGCTTCCTTCAGGTGCTGCACGGCCGGCCCCATGGTTTGCTGCAGGCAGAGCGGAGCAGCCCCTTGCTGGCTGAGTGCCCTCTCCTCTCGTGCACAGGAGAGCAATGGCTTTCATCCAGACTGAGTTGGTGGAACATCCCGAAAGGGCAGCTTAGGGCAACCTGTTCGCAGGGCTGCTCAGTCTCTCGTGTCAGGGCACTGAAAACAAGCTCACATGTGCCTCCCAGCCAGGCCAGGGATGCTAGTTTCTGTGCTGGCCTTTTTGTTTTGTGAGTGTTGCATCATTCTTGTTCTGCAGGGGCAAGGCCCGTGAGGGTCTTGGTCCTCACTCGAACACTTTGTCTGCACTGCAAAGCCAGGCACCGTTTGTGGAGTTGCCTGGGGCTGCTGAGTTGTGGCAGAGTCTTTGTGGGGAAGGGGAGTTGGAAGAACATCTGCGGGTGTGCTCTCCAAAACACTGCCACTGACCCCGCCACCAAAGCATAGGAACGGCGACCAACCCCAGGCCGCTCAGGCCATCAGCTCACGGACACCAATGTGGTGGACGGCAAATGGCGTTTCTTGGCGAGTAACACGGCGTTATATAGCCTGGGTTTACAACGTCACGTCCGTCTGCTTACGACCTAGGCTAGGCCCTATTGGCTACTCGGAGGGGGGTCTTATCTTTCCGTACAGTGCGACATCTTCCGACCGCCAGACCCTAACTACCTACATTTCCCCCCTCCCTATGTTTAATTAAATAGGCTAATGTAAAAAGTAAAAAAGTAGAAAAGTAGAAAAGGGTACACATATACATATAAAAAATGTTACAGCATGAGGCACTTCAGGTTAGTGGTTAATGGCTTCGGGTAAGTGGTTAGTGAGGGGTAATTAAGGGGACGGGTTGTAAGTTGGGGCAAGTTGGGATAAGTGGCGGTAATACTGAGTAGATACATTCTTAAAGTAGTTGGTGGCTTTCTACAAACATGATGTTAACCTGTTCTAGCCGGCTGTTCACAAATGACACAAAGCGATTCAATATACAGGGTCCAAAGAGTAATACCAGCACGATCATTCTACTTGCCCTATAGTAACAAACCCCAAAATCAAAATCAGACAAAGGCATCGTAGCCCCCTCCCTTGGGGGCTATTTCGCTGTTGCCCAGGGTCCGCTGGTGTGGAGCTCCTGGGTACAGCCGCAATGGTTAGTGACTTGTCGCCCTCTCTTGTCACCAGGGCGTACGAGTTACGAGGGCTCTCGGTGATCTAATCCTGTGAACAGAAACTCACAATTTTCATTAGTTTTATTCTGGAGGTCTGGTTTAATGGATTTAAGTGGGCACCACCTAACTCTGCCGTTTTTTCTAACAGCGGCATACCCTCGCCCTGTAAGGGCTAGCCTCTATCGTTGTTCCCATCCCCACCTCCATTCCCGTTTTATATCGAACGGGAGCATATCGTCTCTTCCGAAAACACCATCTGTGAGGGTGAAGACCATGGCAGAATTAAGCCCTTTATCTGCAATTGCCTTAACAATTGCTTGTACATCCTTAGGGTTTATTGGCGAGCGCACCCTCTGTCCCCCCGTCTGTCACCCGACCGGGAATGCTAGTTTGACTGATGGGGCCCAGTCGGCACACGAAATCTTTATTTCCTTCCAGTCCGTGAGAGGGACTTCTTCCCCTCGCCGTTCCTCTTTAGTCCCGATGGGAATACTTTGGCTCTTGACTTTGTTTACCACCATTTCCTCCTCCTCTGAGTTTGAATCGGTTGCGAGCCACTCGCCCCAGGCAGTGTCTGACTCACAGTCGGAAGCCGACTGACCGGTTACTTCAGGTTTCCCGCGCCTTTTCGCTGGGCTCCGGCCCCGCCCGCTTTTCTTGTGGGCGGGCCGTTCCCTCCCTCTGGGCTCTCCCCGCCCTCCTGGTTCGCCCCGCCCCCTGCTCCCCGGGGTGCTTGCCCTACAATGGCATTTCTCCAGACGGCCGCTCTGATTGGCTTTCCGCCCCTCGCTCGCGCGCCCCTCCCCCTTTCGGTTCTCCTTCTCATTCTCCTCCCTCCCCCCCCCCCCTTACGCGCACTTGTCAGTTCTAGCACTTCCCCCCTGTTCCCGCCAGGAGCATCTTCGCCCCGCCTCCTTCTCTCCGCTCGGCTCCATTTTGGGGCGCACAGGGCGGCGGGCTAACCCCAACTGCCTCGGACTCCTCCGCGGCGCCCCTGGCCTCCTCGACCAACCCACCCCAAAAGGATTTTGCTCGTTCCTGTCCCTCCGTAGGCGGGTCGGGATTCAGGGACTGGGGAGGCGTGTCGCCTTTCTGCGTATCTTTAGGCTCAGTAGCGCCGTCACCGTCTGGGGGGTGCAGAGTTTGTGTAGCTGCCCCGACTCCCAGTTTCGGGGTAGCCCACAAACAGTTCTTTGCTGCCTTCCAGGTCTCCTGCTCTTGCATGGCCTTGCACAGGGCCTGTACGACTTTCCCCCACAACTTAAGGTATTTCCCACAACCCGAGGACATCGTCTCCTCGGCTAACACTTCAGTGCATTTATCCCACACCTCAGGGTGGAGAATATCCACTGGCTGGTCAATGACCCCAGTTTGTAAAAGCCTCGCGACTGCGAGAGTAAAATCTTTGGGCTTACAATCAATACCCCACTGCTTATGTAACTGAGATACGACCTTCACAAGGGTTTCCATCCTCCTTGTTGGTCCGGGAGCGTCCTCCCCGCCGAGCTGGTCCAGCCGCTCCGGCCGCCGTTCACCTGTCCATACGATTCCCGGGTTTCAGCACCACTTGTTGCCTTCGTTGGCGTGGCGACCTGGTTCAGGAACGGCACGGCGACCAACCCCAGGCCGCTCGGGCCATCAGCTCACGGACACCAATGTGGTGGATGGCAAATGGCGTTTCTTGGCGAGTAACACGGCGTTATATAGCCTGGGTTTACAACGTCACGTCCGTCTGCTTACGACCTAGGCTAGGCCCTATTGGCTACTCGGAGGGGGGTCTTATCTTTTCGTACAGTGCGACATCTTCCGATCGCCAGACCCCAACTACCTACAGGAAGAGAAAAACAAACGATGGCCAAACATCACCTGGGGGCAATGTGGAGGCAGTGTTCTCACAGGAGAAGGGATAATTGGTACATAAATCCTGAAAGATACAGCAAGGCCATGAGAGGCCCAAGGAAGCCCAAACAAGCAAGATAAGAAGAAGCTGGAATTAACAAAGTTAAAGAGAACTGTGGTCTGTTGGCAAGCTTTCGAGGTCAAGTTCTCACACCTGTGCTTACCTGATTATATGGTAGTCACTAAGGGTCTTCAAGACATGTATCCAATCATAATATGCCAAACCACTGTAAGTGCATGTAAGAAATAGTATAGAAGGAGTTAAGGCTTTGTAATAAATGGCTTTGGTCTGATCATATTGATCTCTGACTGAGTCCATATATTTTCTGTGGCAACATGGCATCTGCCTGGCCTGACACAGCGTGGGCCTTGGTTGCCACCCTGTCAGCACTGAACCTCAGTGCTTTCTCTTCTGCCCCAAGGTCCTTCCCTTGCGGCTGCTGTCTGACTGTGCTGGGGTGGCCCCGTTCTGGTTTAGGGCTCTTGCAGCTTCTGCCAGCCCTGAGGGCTGTCTAGAAAGCACGACTACTCCCTGGGGGTGTCTGTGGAGCTCCTGAGCCTAAAGCTCTGCCAGTTCCTGAAGTGAAGGCGTAGGATCCGTCAGAAGAGGGTGAGCTTCCTGCCCCGCTGCATCTTGCCCCCATCTCTTCATGCCTACTCCCTCTTGGACTTCAGTCCTCCCGGCTTGGAGAAGAAGACTGCACAGAGCAGATCCCAGTATCGCAGTATCACAGTATGTTAGAGTCCAATCCCCCTGCCGGTGCAGGAACACCTAGATAAGGTTACACGGGAACGTGTCCAGGCGGGTTTTGAATGTCTCCAGATAAGGAGACTCCACAACCTCCCTGGGCAGCCTGTTCCAGTGTTCCGTCACCCCAACTGAGAAGAATTTTCTCCTCAAGTTTAAGTGGAACCTCTTGTGTTCCAGTTTGTACCCATTGCCCCTTGTCCTATCATTGTTTGCCACTGAGAAGAGCTTGGCTCCATCCTCGTGACACTCCCCCTTTATATATTTATATACACTAATAAGGTCACCCCTCAGTCTCCTCTTCTCCAAACTATAGAGACCCAGCTCCCTCAGTCTTTCCTCATAAGGGAGATGCTCCACTCCCTTAATCATCTTAGTTGCCCCGCGCTGGACTCTCTCCAGCAGGTCCCTGCCCTTCTTGAACTGAGGGGCCCAGAACGGGACACAATATTCCAGATGAGGTCTCACCAGGGCAGAGTAGAGGGGAAGGAGGACCTCTCTCGACCTACTAACCACCCCCCTTCTAATACACCCCAGGATGCCATTGGCCTTCTTGGCCACAACGGCACAGTGTCGGCTCATGGTCACCCTGTCATCCACTAGGACCCCCAGGTCCCTCTCCCCTACACTGCTCTCTAACAGGTCGTTCCCCAACCTATACTGGAACCTGGGGTTGTTCCTGCCCAGATGCAGGACTCTACACTTTCCCGAGCGGGGCAGGGCAAGGAGCCCGGCCGCGGGGCAGCAGCTGCAGCAGCCGGGTGAGCAGCTGCCTGCGAAGGACCCGCTGCAGGACAAGGACACCACCGGCGGCTCCGAAGCTGCTGTGGCTGCCGACGTGGGGCAGCTGGTGGACAGGGTGCAAACCGACGAGAGCGGCAGCTCTGAGGTAGAGACTCTCCCCAGTCCCCTGGGTGCTCCCCCGCTGACGCGCCTCCTCCTCCAGGGGTGGCTCTTTGCCCTTGGCATCAGCTTCAGCGCTCCTGCACAGAGCTCAGCACGGGCAGGCAGGGCTGGATGCAGCCCTGCTGACATGGGTTTGTGTCATGGCTTCCACTGGGGCAGGGTGGGGACCAAGTTCCTGGTCTGTAGGGACCCTCCCGTGGGGCTCATGCCTGCCACCCTCCTCTCCTAGGACACGTCTGCCTACCAGGATGTCCTTGAGGAGATTAGCCAGACGAAGGAGGCGCAGTCTCGCATGCAAGGAGAAATCCGCATGATCCAGGAGGCGCTTGGCTTGGTGAGCTGCTGCTGCTGGAGGAAGCTGGCCTCTTGCTCCCCTCCCTGCATCACCCCGCATCTCCCTGCGGACCCTGTCCTCCGGCCTCGGCTGTCACCCAGTATCAAGGGCACTGGGAGGGAAGAGTGGGAAGGGTGCCCCGGGAGGGAAGAGTGGGAAGGGTGCATCAAAAGGGAAGCATGGGAGCTCAGCCCACCCTACCTGGAGCCCCGGGGAGGGCAGGAACGGGCAGCACTGCCTGCGGCTCAAGCTGCTGGCAGAGGTAACTGTGTGTGTCCACCCAAGTGGCGCTAAGGCGCTTCTTAACTAAACACCCATGAAAGTACCATGGGTGCTGGGAAGGAGGGTCAAGATCTACTGGTACAATACAGCAGCAGCCCCCCCGGCACAAGCCTGCCCAGCATCCATCTGTCTAGCGCCCAAGTTAATTTGCAGATGCTTCTGTCCAGTCCTGCTCCTGTGTCCTGACTGCCGTCCTTCTCCTTGCCCCACTTTAGGGGAACCTCCAGGATGCTGCCGGCCGGCTGCCACGCCTTGGCAACCTAAGGACTCTGGCCAGTGATGTGGTATGGTTACAAGCACGCCAGATCCTGCTGCAGGACAGGAGATGGCTGCATCCTGGGGGACCAGTGCAGGCGGTCCCTCTGCACTAGGGCATGGTCCCCAGCAGTGCTGGGTGTGAGGGTGGGCTGGGCCCACCATGCCCCAGGCTACATGGGTGGAGTAAACCCTTGATCCCTTCCTTCCCCAGCAAATGCTGAAGGAAAGACTGGGCCTGTACCCAAACCCGGAGGAGGTCAACAACATGGTGCACTGGGATGTGCTGGAGGATTGCCTGGTGGGAGGCAAAGGAGAACGAGGTAGAGATGGAGGAAGACCCAGAAGAGAACAAGAAGGAGACCGCTCTGCCACCACCAAGTCTCCCACTCCAGACGTGGACACGCCACATGGAGCAAGCTCAGTGCTGGCATTTAGAGAGAGCTCAGTGGGGCTGAAGGATCCAAGGACAGCTGTAAGGGTCCCTAAGCAGCAGGCAGGCATTCCCTCAGATCAGAGGAGGGATGCTAGCACCAGAGCGATGACGCAGACAGCGTCTCAGGACGTTCAGACCACCAGCCCGGGGACACAGCAAACACACCCGGAGTCCATGGGCACGCAGACCACCAGGCCAGGGACACAGGCAACAGAGCTGGTGTCCACGGGCACGCAGACCATCAGCCTGGAGACACAGCCAACAGAGCTGGTGTCCACGGACATGCAGACCATCAGCCTGGAGACACAGCCAACAGAGCTGGTGTCCACGGACATGCAGACCATCAGCCTGGAGACACAGCCAACAGAGCTGGTGTCCACGGACATGCAGACCATCAGCCTGGGGACACAGCCAACAGAGCTGGTGTCCACGGGCACGCAGACCATCAGCCTGGAGACACAGCCAACAGAGCTGGTGTCCACGGACATGCAGACCATCAGCCTGGGGACACAGCCAACAGAGCTGGAGTCCATGGGCACGCAGACCATCAGGCCGGGGACACAGCCAACAGAGCTGGTGTCCACAGACAGGCAGACCACCAGCCTGGGGACACAGCCAACACAGCTGGAGTCCATGGGCACGCAGACCACCAGCCTGGGGACACAGCCAACAGAGCCGGAGACCACAGGCACCGAGACCACCAGCCTGGGGACACAGCCGGAGTGTACCGTCCCTCAGACCACCATCTCAGGGGAGCAGCTCAGCACAGAGCTTCACCGGGCTGGCCCCCTGGCAGCAGGGACTCTCTTGCTGACAGCCCAGGGATTCGAGATCCCACTCGACGCTGATCCCAGCGCCACGTCCCACGTGCAAGAGCTGGCCTTGCCCTCGGGCTCCAGCAGTGCCTACCACAATGCCTACAAGTGCTACGTGGAGACGGTGGAGGCTCTCAAGCAGATTGGGCAGCTCAGACACCTCTATGCTGCCCTGAAGGAGCAGGTGGCCCAGCTAGAAGCCACCAGGTTGGAGCGGACTGAACTGGAGAAGCTGCGCCTGCTCCTCCAGGAGGGAGGTGGGAGCTCTGGGAGCCTTGTGGGGGGCGTTTGAAATGTTGGCTCTTGAGCTGGCTGTGCTCAGAGCCTTGCCCGCAGGGTGAGACCCCTTCACTGACAGTGTGTCCCCTCGGACCGTGTTGTTGTAGGCCAGGAGAGCATTGCCAACATGCTGGGTGACCTCCAGGCCCAGGTGTCACCCCTGCAGGGCGTGGCCAGGGACCTGCAGGAGGAGAAGGGGAAGGTAAGAAGTCCCCGAGGGAGATGCAGGGATGCTGGGAGAGTTGGGCACGGAGGAGGCAGCTGAAGAGCCCCTGTGCTGGGATGGCACAGGGGCCATGCCCTGACTCTGCCCCCACTGCCGTTCCCAGATCAGGAAGCTGGAGAGTGCCCTTGGCAAACTGGAGGCGGCCAGAGCCAGCTGGCAAACAGATCTCGACGAGCAACTCAGCCTGCCATTGGGGTAAAAGGACAGGGACAGGAGGGGGTTTCGTTCCCTGTGGGGCTGCGAGGGAGCCCAGGAGGGCTGGGAGCATCCCATGCTGGGGGGGTGAGGGATGCCCCCTGAGCAACTAAGCTTGTGAAGACTAAGCCTGCCTGTGCCCCCATCTCGCTGTCCAGGTCCACACCGCAGCAGGTCAAGCGGGACATGAAGGACCTGGCAGAGCATCAGCAAATAAGCAAGGCTGCACTGGATCAGTTGGTGACCCAGATGGCCGAGGAGGGGCAGGAGCAGGTGAGGCGTGGGGGGAGCTCCCACCACCCGCTGGCTCTTCGAGGTGCTCCTGGTGGGGATCTCCCAGCCACATCCTGTGGCTGGCTGGGACCACGGAACCTCCATGGCCCCGGGATTGTTGGCTGCATCTGTCCCGTCTCAGAGGTGATTCCTCTTCCCTCCTCTGCAGCTCAAAGAGGTGAGAGTGATGGAGAACACGGGGCAGGAGGAGGCGGGATGCCCCACGTGCAGCAGCGACACCAGCATGCGTTTGGGGAAGCTTCTGCGGTGCTATGAGAAGCTGCAGGGGCTGGTGGACTCCCTCATGTCGACGAAGGAGACGGCAAGGCTATGTTGCAGCTGCCAGGAGAGCCAGGTCGGGAGATGGCAGCATGGGGGACCTGGGAGGGGGCTGCCAGAGCCATGCCCGGCTGTTTGTGCTTCGGTCTGATGTGGGGGAGGTCCTTGCTGCCCCCCGTATTGTCTTGTGAAGTCTGCAGCATAGAGGGAGATTCAAGCCGTGCTGCAAATGTCCTGCCGGCACTGGGAGCCTATGGCCACTGGCCCAGTAAGCCAGGTCTGTCCCCATGGGGCAGCCTCCCCACCTTGCCTGGCACTACCTTGTTATTTTCCTCCCTGGAGCAGGACCAGGAGGAGCTGAAGCGCATCCAGGCTGCCGTGCTGCAGATGCAAGGGGAGTATGAAAAGCTCAACTCTGTCATGGGGAGCCTCCTGGAAGACAGTCGCCAGCAGCAGAAAGATATGGAGGTAGATGGCTGAAATCCCCATGGGCTTAGAGCCTCCTGGAGGCAGAGCCCAGGCTGGGGACCGTAGGCGATTTGCCCTGTGGAGATGAAGAGTACCTTTCCCAGAGGCTTCTGCGTGGGGGGAGAAGCAGGGGTGCTCCTGCCACAATGTCATAGGATGCTTTCTGTGTTGGAAGGGTCTGTTGCAGTCCGTGGAGAGGCTGGAGAAGGAGAAGGCAGACAAGGACGACCTGGAGCTGGGAATGGATGAGGTACGGCCTCAAGGGGCCTAAGCACCAGCCAAGGGGGTCCTGGGCAGGGAGACAAACGCCCCTTCTTCCCTGGGAGCTTGGTGGGAGAGCTGGCCGGGGGGAGGGAGGATTTCTAGCCCAGCTGCAGGTCCCTCTGTCTCCCCCCATGTCCCTTGGGCTGGTGGGACCGACCCCATGGGGGTGATGGGCGAAAGTGGGACCACGGGAGCCGTGGGAGGAACACAGTGGTCCTGCAGGAGTGCTTTTGCCTCTGCCCCTGCAATGAGCTGACCCTGGCTGTTGCACCTCCATCCTTTCTCCACCGTTCTCCTGCCTTTCCCTGTTGCTGGAAAGCAGACAAAGACACCTTGGAAAGCAAAGTCAGCCGCGCCCAGTTTGAGGCGAGCCTGGAGCTGCTGAACGAGAGAAACCAGGAGGTGCTGAGCCGGCTGGCAGGCCAGGAGCAGGGGCTGCACGAGGTCCAGCAGCAGCTGCGGGAGGAGATGGCCTCCAAGGTGAGGGGCGGCTCATCACCGCTGCGCAAAAAATGGCACCTTCGGGACTTGGTGGCCCAAGGTAGCATCCTCCTGAGGATTCCTGCTCCTGGCTTTTCCGTGGGGATGCAGTGTCCCATCCCGGAGCCGCTGGCTGAGGGAGTGTGTCTGTCTGCAGCTGGATCGCCTGGAGCTGGGGCCATTCCAGCAGGAGCTGGAGGAACGCTGGAAGAGCAGCCTCGAGCAGCTCAAGGAAGGGCACCACCAATGGAAGCTGACGATGCAGCTGGGATTCGGAAGTGAGTGCAATAGGGACAGCGCTCGCCTTGGTCCCACTTTGTCCTTGCCTGCATCCCCTGTTCCCATGGTGCTCTGGGTGCCTGTGGCAGTGGTTCCCACAGCATTGGAGGTTTTTGGGCACTCCCCTCTGTGGATTCTCCTGTGCCTAAGATGAGGTGGAGCTTTTTCCCAGGAGGGAGCCCACAACCAACCACTCTCCCTCATCCTATCCACTTTCTGTAGCCAGCCAGCAGGTTGCAGACCTCGTTGGTGTTGGGGGGTGGGGCATAAACCAGGCTGAAACCCAGGTTTCTGAACTCACCCAGCCCTTTCTCCCCTCCCCAGGCAGCTGCTGGTGGATTTCCAGTGCCTGTCTTGTGACAGCCAACTCAGCATGCGGGTGCCTGGCTCGTGAGTACCACCCAGCACAGGCGCATCAGGAGTCTGCATGGGTGGGATGGGGGGAGATGGGTGCTGGTGGTGCTGCAGACCAGGCATGGGGTTCGGGGTGTCCGCCTGCGAGGGTGCGATTGTGCCCAGCACCCTCCACAGGCCTGCCCGTCAGTGGGAGGATTAGGACCCCTCCCTGAGGGCAGCGGGTAGGGGATGTAGTGAGGTACAAGCCTGTGGGGTTTGGAGTGCTGCCACGAGCCCGGGTGGCTCATTTGTCCCCTGTCACCCACTGATGGCTCTTTCCCTCCCCAGGCCTATCCCGCCCATCCCATCCTTTCCACCGCTGGCCCTTCACGGCACTGGACAATCCCACCCTGTTCTAAAGATGGAGCAAATCCAGAGGTAGGGGACACGGGCCCCATCCCCACCCCTGGCGTGCGTGATGGCCCTGCCCCAGCAAGGGAGAGTCCTTCCCTGCGTCGGGGTAAAGTGCTCTGCTCCCTGGGCAGGGCAGGGGAGCAGAGATGTGCCACAGAGGCTCAGCTGTGCTTGCCCCAGTCTGGGGGGTTTTATAGCCTTGCCGCTGTGCTGCCCCGTCTCTCTCTCAGGGGCACTGAAGCCACATGTGCTGAGTTGTGTGCTGGGTGCTGAGTGTTCCCATACCCTATCCTGCAGGGAGCGGGGCTGCATGCAGGTACCCCACCGTGCCACGGCAGTGTGGGGGCCAGCGTACCCTCACACCCCCAGTGCAGCGCAGCCTGCACCTCCAGCCGGTCCAGCCCAGCGCCCCACAGACACTCCAACCATCCACCCTGCTCCCCAGCAAGGTAGGGATGAAGAAAGAAGGGATCTGGTGGGGGTGACTGAGGTTGGGAGGGTGATGCTGAGCATCTGGGGGGAATCCATGCCTCAGTTTCCCCAAGAGAGACGGGTATAGAGGGTTGCTTGGGGATGCTGAATTCAGCCCCGTGCTTTAGCCAGCCCATTCTCTCCTCTCCAGCAGGACAAGATAGAGCTGCCGGGGCAGGACATCCGCAGGGCTGGCCCCTGCCCCTCAGCCCCAGGCACCACTGGCCCACTGGAACACAGGTCAGCCCCATCCCAGAGCCACCTTCTCCAGGTACACCGGCCCCACCCACCCCTCCTGCCCCGCAGGATGGATGCAGCAACCCGGCAGCCGGGCAGGACTGGCGGTCACCGGCTGAATCCCAGTGCCCTGGCACCCCAGCAGGCGAGGAAGTAGCTCCCAGCAGCAGCAATAAATGGTGATGCTCAGCAAAGCGCCTGTGTGGCCTGAAGTGGGGGAACCCTGGCTTGGGATCTGCCCTTGGCCTTTGGCCACGTGTCACTGAAGGACCTGAAAACAGCCCCTGGCCACCCCCCTGCTCCTCATCCCCAGGGGCTGAGCAGCCTGAGCTGCTGCACTCCCCCTGGCACCTCCATGAGCCCTGTGTGGGTCCGATGGCCCCTGCTAGGGGAGCCTGTGGCCCCAGAGTGGGGCTGGGGGAGCTGAGCAGTGCAGCAGCAGCAGCAACAGGAGGAGGATGCTCGGTTGCTGCTGAAGGTGACAGCAAATTGGCACCTGGGTGGGGAAGGGTGGTGGCGGCAGCACACGGTGAGGGACAGCTCTCAACTCCCTGCTAAAAGCAGGGAATTTGCCCGTATTGTTGCCCTTGCTTTCTGATTGTGACTATTGCAGTGCTATTGGTAAAGAGCACAGCGCAGGAAGGGGCTTCAGGGCTTCATGCTGGAGTTAGCTTCCTTGGTGTTTACGTCAAGGAAGGCAACACGTGTGGCTGTACCGCTTCTGGCATCCAATTTAGATCATACCTAGCCCTTAATTCATCAATAAGCCATGACATCAGCTAGCTGGGGCCAGCCAAGACTGTGGACATTTGGTGCCTCAAATTGCATAGGAGAGCTAACTCCCACCACAGATAGGGTGTGTGGACTTCTGAGGCTAGGGTTCAAGTCCACTGGCTTCAGAAGTCTACAGAATAAAAGCTTAACACTGCCCCGTTGAAGCCAAAGGGCTGTAGTCATCCGCCCATATGTGGCTGTTAAGAGACTGTGCTGTTGACTTCACTGTCTGTGTGGACCGTGCAACCAACAGTCTTCAATCCGAGACTGTAGACCCTTGAACTGTCCTGGAAGCCCTGCTATCAAGCTTAGATGTAGAAACATACACAGCAGTTACCTATAGTTAGGTGAGAGGAATGGCAGTACAGGTGTCTGTGGGACTGTAAGACGGCTGTGATGAAGTGAGCATCAAGAGATGAGACAGAGGTTTGTGCTGAATGCACCAGGCTGCGTTAACCAAATGCCACAGTGCTGGGCCAGTGGCTGTGACAGGCACAGCCTTCACGATAACCTGTAAGTGTGAGGTATATAGGAATGATTCGTGTCAGCAACTTAGGTGCTCTTGTCGTCATTGTACTTTGGGTGGAATCCAAAATCCGTGAAATCATTGCATCGTGTGTAGAATGTATAAGAATGATCAGATTATGAGATGTTCCTGTCAATACAATGATGAAAGAGAAGAAGAAACAAAGAAATAATCCTTCCTAATCAAACGCTTTGTTACTTTAAGGGGTACTTTAACTACTCGAATGTCTCAAAGTAACTGTACGAGAAATGGAATTTAGGGGGCTGAGATGGTGGTTAAGCTTGTGACAGACATCCCCCGTTAACGTATTGCCAAGGAATTCAATAACTTTTCAAGAAGTTTCTTCACCCGAAGATAAGACCCCAGCAAGAGGAGAACAATGAAAAGGAACCACGTCGATATTCAGGGGAAGGAGACGGCAGGATTGGCTGAAACCCAAGAGCGAGGAGTATAAGAGACTGTACCCCGGAAATCTCGGTGTGCGTCTCGGGTGGAGCGGAGACTCCCCGGCGCACCCAGCGCTGCTTGCTCATTGCCTCTCGATATTAATCAATTGTAATAAAAAATTAATTAAATCAGATCATGGCCAAGACGGAATTTTTATAACATGAGTGGCAGTGTAAGGTCACACCTGCTCTGTTTGTGTACGTCCCTTCTCCCCAGATGGGGCAAGGGGGCCCCCCCAGACCTGCCCCTCTCCCCAGCAGCAGACCATGCCCACCCCGCTGCACTCCCCAGACACCTTAGTCCCCACGGAGCCATCCCCCGTGGATGTTTTACCTGGGGGGAGCTGTTCAGGGGCAAAAATGGAGCTAACAGCCTGTCTTGGGCTCCCACGTGGCTCCAGCAGGAGCTGGGATTCCCCCCAGTGCCACCTGCAGTGGGATGACCGGGAGCCAGCAAAGGACTCTCGAGCACCCATGGGTGGGCTCAGGCGCCGAGGGGCTTGACTCCACCCCCGGCACTAATTGCATTTGCAGGACAGGGCCCAGTTGGCTCTGAGCTGGGAGCCCCTAGAACCACGAGCCCTCGCCTCCCTTCGCCTCGCTTTGCTGCCCCCTGCAGCCCCTCGCCCTTGGCAGATCCCTGCGTGGTGCTACTTGTCTGAGGAGCTCCAGCTGGCAGATTTTCCTCTTCTTGCTCTTACCCTCCTTGGATGTTGCGCTGTGCCGGGTCTCTCCTACCATGGGGGTCTCCCGGTGCCCTGGGGGTTGCTTTGCTGCTGCACTCTGAGCTCCCCCGGCTCTTGCTGGCATCTCTGGAGCTGTTGCGTTCCCGTCTGGGAGGGTTTTGACCCCAGCTGCTTGTGTCGTGAGCAGTCTGGGGGCTGTGTTTCTGGTCCATGTTAACGGTGTTGGGCTATGGGAGCGCTGAACCAGGGGCTGGCGCGTTGTTTGAGAAGGGAATCGAGACCGCTCCTTGGCGCGGGTGGGCAGCAAGAGAAGACAAACAGCTCGCCTTCCCGGGGCGCTCCGGTTCCATGGGCAGGGGCTGGTGGAAGCAGGGTCGGTCCCGGGACCGTCCCCCGTGCGCTCGAGCTGCGGGACGGGACGGGACGGGACGGGACGGGAGAGGGCCGCGGGCTGTTGCCTGGCAACGGGTGTTTTCGTCAGCGCCGCCCTCTGTGAGGTGGAGAACGGGCTCGGGCAATGGGCATCGAGGAGCGGGCGGTGCTGGTCGGTAAAGAGGCGCGGCAGGGTGGGGGCCAGGGACAGTTGCTGCAGGTAGAGGACAGGGGGGCGCGGGGAGCGGGAGTCAGGGGGGCCGGCGGTAGGGAAGGGGCCGCCACATCCCTGAGGGAGCAGGAGGCAGGCTGCCCGCTGCCCGCTGTCTCTCCTACCGCCAGCAGGTCAGACTCGTGTTGTCGGCCATAGCGGCAGCCATGGCTCTGACCAGCTTGACCCAGCTGCTGGACGCCGCCATCGGGATGCCCGATGTCGAGGCCGTGAATTTCCGAGCGCTGCGCAGCCTGCTGGAGGCCATGCTGGCACACCTGGGCCTGCAGGACCGCTCCACCTGGGCCTCGGCGCAGCCTG